GCCCTAGTCTGTAATTATATTTGGGCAGAAGTCCTGATGATGGACGCATCATTCGTGCTGTGTGAGGATTTTGCTCAATGAAAATGAATAAAAGCAAAACAGCAAAAAAAGTTTGATGTCAGGTTAGTCAGTGCTTTAGAAAATAACTGTAAGCTAGTTTGCTTGAAGAAAGTTGGCCTAAAAGGGGCGATGGTGAAGGTAGATGAGCTACAGTGTCAGACAGACACCACGGCCCAGTGTAGGAAGAATATTACGGTTTAAGAATAAATATAAGCAGCTGAAAATGGCGCAACAGCTCCACGTTAAGTAATCGCTCATTGCTGGAATTGAAAACAATCAGTGTGGCTTAATGAGATACTGCGGGAAGCTGTGATTCCAGTTACTGTAAAGAAGCTTGCACAATATCTAAACGTCACAATGAAAATGCTGCATACGAGGCTATTAATATAACACGCAAGCAGCAGACAACAGAACAAACAGATTGCATTTGCAAAAGTTTAAACTGGATTGGGAGAGCAGTGCAGTCACACCTGTTTACATCCACATGTCAGATATTTTCAGCTATAAAGGGCTTGATCTGGTGAAGCTCCTTTGTCTTAAAAATATACACGACTGCCCCTCTGACCATTTATTTTTAAAGCAACCATTAAAGTTACATAATTTAGGTGTTTTCCCTCTTTGTGAAAGAAGAGATGGACAGTTGTAGATTATTTTGTTGCAAGTATCTGGCAACAAAGCAGACCAGTCTTTAAAAGAAAACCTGTAATCTGTGCTCAGCACCAAATGACTTATTTTAAAAAGAGCCGTTAAAAAGCGCAGTTTGCCTCAAGAGTTGCTCAAAATACAAAAATACAAAGGTTGAAGGACCTTTTTACTCTAATAGCAGCTGTAGCTAGCACCCAGAGCAGGGGTGGGCAACTCCAGGTCTCGAGGGCTGGTGTTAGAGCTCACCCTGAATCACATGAGGAGTTCATTACCAGGAATCTGGAGAACCTCAAGACCTGATGAGGTCATTTAACCATTTAAATCAGCTGACACATCTAAAACCTGCGGGACACCGCCCCTCGAGGCCTGGAGTTGGACACCCCTGACTTACAGCAATGTTACAACGTTTGGCTCTTAGTTGCGGTGCAGTGTAGCTGACATGCATGACCCGACCTCGTCTGGTAGAGCAGCGTCTTTAGCTGTCATATCATTTCAAGCTGCAGACACTTTCCTCTCACTCATTTCAAAGACTTAAGAATAAACCACCTAAAAGCACATTGTTCAGAGGGCACAGCACGAGAAAGCCTTCTTCTCTCTGAAGTAGGTGCCAAAAGAGCTTTCCAGCCAATAGGAGGATGCCCTTCGGGAGCAGGATATACAGTTCTTCCAGACAGGAAGCAGTCACATTGGCATGTTAACATAATTACAGTGTCGCTTTCGCCAGGGGGCTCGTCACAGCAGTTTAGTTTAGGGAGCAAGGGAGTGATGGATAGAGGGAAAGAGGAGAGATGGATGTAGAAGGGAGGGTCACGCTGCTCGGTATTTTGGGTGTGCCCCCAGTTTGTCAGATCTCTAATACACCACAGCAAACACACACACTCTGGGACATGGCAGCGCACTTATGGAGACATGTATATACACATTTCTAAGCATGAAAGCTAGCGAGACTGTTCAAGGAGACAAGAGTGCCGAGCCACTAATTGCACAGTGCTATCGGGGGGGGGGCAGTGGATGGAAAAGGGACGGGGGAGGAGGAGACAGCACTGCTTCTCTTCTAGTCCTCTTGTGGACTGGTTGGGACAATAATGATGGGGTATGGGAGGTGTGTGGGTGGGGGCGTGGTGTGCGTGCGTACCAACCCCCCCAGCTCCGCCTCCTGCTCTGCCTTCCACAGAGTCTCCGGGGAGATCTTTGTATGGTTGCTTTGTAGAGAGTGGGACAGCCAGACAGGTCCCCAGAGGAGGGCGTGTCCTGCTGAGCGGGCCCATCTGATGTGTGTGTTTGTGCGCACGCACATCAGCGTTTGTCCTGCTGACCATCTGCATGTGCCCGTTTGGTTCGTTTCCTTTTCCTATATGTAAGTTTAGGGCCGTATTAACGTGTCATTTAAAGGATTACACGTCTGTTTTAAAGCCCACCCTCTATTCATGACTCTGTGTCAGTGGCACTAAACACATAATGAAGCCAGTGTGAGGAAATGTAAGTGGGCAGACTGTCGCTCTGTGCATTTCCTCACTTTTTCTGCTGGGAGAATTTGACGTCCCACTCCAAATCTCAAGTGACCCATTATCAGGTCTGCACCAAGACCCCAGGTGCAGCGGCCATAAAGGGGCCGTTATGTTTACGACTGATGCTCCTGTTAAATAATCCTGGAAAATAATATCGTGGTGTTATCCACAGCTCGCTGACCTCATCAGTGTTTCTGTCGGGATCACAGGTGATGCCATCAGTTTTCATGCACTATGACTCGCTCTGCAATCCACAAACATTCATGCTGAACAAGGTTTATGACTCGCACTGATAAGATTGGAGCTGTTTTTTACCGAAATGAAAAACAAAGTGTGGATTATGAGATGTTTGGTGCGTTCTAGTTTACATCAGTTTTATTTTGTAGTTTGCAGGATTAAAAATACAACACTGAACACAATCCTTATATAAATGATTCACACAGCTAACTTTATTAGCTTTTTAGTCTACGCTTTAATATTCTGCTCGAGTGTCATGCTGAAAGCGTCACTCTTTTAAAAAGAATATTTGCAGCCTCGTTGACACTAATGTAGTTAAAAAGAGCCGACATGAAAGGGACGGAGCGCAAAGAGCCTGGAGGTCAACCTTCTGTCCCCTTCAGCCGAGTCCCACGAGGGACAGCGTGTGGAAGTCAGAGGCAAAAGACGACAATTTATTCAGTGGTCAGTGATCTGTGCCTCCCAGAGGGCCCGGACAAATGTTTCAGTAGCTCAGCGTGGCTTTGTGCTGCCGAGCGCCACATCTGTCTGCCTCGCACACTGTGGGTGTGTGTGTGTGTGTGTGTGTGTACAATTGTGTATGGCTGAACAGAGGAACGCACACATTTGATGTCGTCATAGTCTCACATAGAAACGTTAGTTAAAGGTGTGACGGTAAATTCTGCCGTGGGTGGGTCTGCTGCACCGAATGTTGTAGAGGTGTGTGTGTGCGTGTGTGTGTGTGTGTGCGTGCATGTGTGCGTTGCCAGATTGATTGCAGCCTTTAATGTGTTTTACTATTGAGGGCCCTGCATTTCTCTCAGCTGAGGGCTCCATGAGAACAGCTCTCTTATAAACACTTTCTAATAAGTAACAAGCAGCTTCCTTCACATTGTTGCACACGGTGGACGTCTTGCATGGAGCTGCTGAGTTTCAGAACACTTCATTGATCCCTGGAGGAAGTTATGTGAGCAATTTGATGGAAGTGACGATTTTCAGTACATTTACAGCAGGAAGGGTGCGCTCGTGTGTGTGTGTGTGTGTGAGGATCATATGACAATAGGTAAGTAGGTAAAGCAGCAGCCCTGCAGTGTGTGGGAACCTTTGATTCTTCTCCTTTGTTGGCCGTGTCATGTGATGCCAGAAGTCACAAAGACAGCAGTTCTTTGAACCGGTGGCTAACAATGCTTGGCTGGAGCCATGTGGACACGTCTTGTCCTTGCAGTCTACAGAGCTGGTGCAGGTCACATTGTGTGTACGTATGGGGGTGTGTATTACGAGGTGGCGTCCAGATGGCCCTCACAGATGGATTCTGTGGTTTTAAAAGAGATTACCTTGCTCTATTCCCGTCTCGGCGCTTCTCCTTAAGACCTCAGGAGCCCAGTGACACAGTAGCCCAATTAGCTGTGCTAACTTGCCTAGCCTGGCATTAGCCTAGTGTTAATGGTTCCTGTGGTTTGTCCATGAGTGGACATTCAAGTACGCACATTATTAGGCTGTGTGTGCGTGCGCGTGTGTGTGTGTGAGCGCGCGTGTGTGTGTGTGCGCATTGACTGGGAACATTAATGCGGCCGTTCTGACCGCTGGTGCCTTAATCAAAAAACTCAAAGAGAGACTAAATCTCCAAGGGGGGGGGCAGTGGTTCCTTACAGGAGAGAGAGAGAAGTGAGTAAATGTAGCTTCTATTGATTAGCAGCAGAATCCACCATTCCTCACCAACCATGACACTTTGTCTGCCACACAAACACATGTGTACGCGGCACGACGGGTCAAACATGCTGTCTGCTTCTGCAGAACAGAAATCACTGAAGCAGATTAGGGCCTTCCAGCAACTGAAACACCTGCGCATGTATGAAACACACACACACACGCACCCCCTCCCCCTCCCTACAGAGCCACGTGCGAGCAGTCTGGTCCGATACTTGTAGGTTCATGATTTGTCTACACAGTGTGAAAGAGTCGCACTCGAGTGATCACTGGTTACTCAGTTAAGTGGACAATTATATATTAATGAAGCTCAAACTGCTGCTTACTTATTTCAGATAATCGATGATTATATTTTCATGTTCGTCTTACAAAACCCAAATGCTGAGAGAGTTGAGAATAAAAGTATTAGGATGTTCATTTCTATAATATCCTAACATGTTGGGGTCTCTCTCTTAAATACCACCGTCTTCTATGATGATGATGCTGCTGTGGGGAACATATATACTCATGCAGACATACAGTGGTTTGCAAAAGTATTCGGCCCCTTGAACTTTCCCACATTTTGTCACATTACAGCCACAAACATGAATCAATGTTGTTGGAATTCCAGGTGAAAGACAGTTATTTATGTTATTTATTTGTAACAAATGTTTGGAATCATGTCTGATTTTCGTTCCACTTCTCACGTGTGCACCACTTTGTGTTGGCCTTTCATGTGGAATTCCAATAAAATTGATTCATGTTTGTGGCTGTAATGTGACAAAATGTGGGAAAGTTCAAGGGGCCGAATACTTTTGCAAACCACTGTATGTCTGCCACTGATTGATATCCAATAATAATGTAAGCCAACCCTTATAATATTCTCCCTCTAATTAATTATATAAATATATAAAAGTCAAAGTGCTGTATTTTTTCAGCGATCACGCTCAGGTTTGTTGTTCGCTCAGTTTGTTTGTTCGAGTTCAGGTGAGGTTCATAGCTGTGATGCTCATTGTTGTCTGAGATAAATCTTCTTTGCAGGCGTAACAATGCTGCCTGATCTTGATGATGTTTATGCTCTTCCATCGTCTGACTTTGGGTTCTTGTCAGTTGCTTGTGGTGTTTCTGCAAAGCTCATGTTATTCCAGAGCGGTTGCATGAATGTGTGCACTTGGGTAGCCTGTGTGGTTTTGTTCCAGAAATGTGCAGGATCCACTTTGGAAAACGACGTCCAATCTGGAGCTCATCTGTGAGCGTGCAGGCTCTGCAAAGAGCCTCGCTAAGCCTCGCGGCGAGCTGCGATTTAGTCAGTTTTTGTGTTTTGTAGCCCAACTTTATGTGTCTATACCAGTCACACGTGTGCAGATATTCCTTTAATGCACAGTTTTATAGGTTGGTGATTTAGTGTCGTCTCTGAAGACGAGAGCTAGCTAGACCTCCCACGCCCCCCTGCTCCATAAGACGGGACCATTAACACTTCTGTGAAATGACAGAGGCGTCACATGTGGCTTTAAAGAAACCTCTAGCTGAAGACAGAAGCATCAAAGAAACATATCGCCGTGTCTTTGAAGAGGAACACTCTCTCACAGGTTTTCATTCTGCCCTGAAGTTTTTATCTGAAAACAAATGATGGTTTCACAAAGTCGTGTTACCTGCTGTTTTATCAGCTGACACTGGACTTTGTCATCCAAGTGTTTTATTGGATGCAGCTTTTGGTTAAGCTTCTTTATGCGTGTTTGCTTTTCTCCATTTGATTTTAAAGTGATATTTGGAGCCACAGATATTAGGAAACAACACTGACTGATGAGGAGCCGAAGCAGGCAGCCCGGGCTGTGCGTTTGAGGAGTTTTAATTTACACATGCTCTCGTTCCTCTTCTCATTAGTGTCAGTGTTGCCTGTGTTTGTGTTTGAGAGCGTGTGGGGGTGTGTGCTTGTTTTGGATTTATTATTTTAAGCAGAGCCGCGCTCGCATCACTGCGCAGAAATAGCTCAGTTCTGTAACCTGTTACATCAAGTGTGTCAGTGACTGCAGAGTTTCTTTCACTCACCGTTGCATTTGTGCGTTGCTGCCTTTAAGGTCCCCCGTGTTCCTTTGGACACTCGTTAAAGAGGTTTTTATGTGGCCTGTACGCTGTGTGTGCTCGGGCGTGTCAGTGTGTTGATAAGAGACTCCAGCGGAAATCACCGAATGGTCAGACAAGGACAGACTCTATTTTTACCCATAATGGTGGCTCCAGTCCGAGTGAGGTTGTTTAGTTTGTATTCTGACTATTATGCTCCTGAATGCAACATCCACACTCAGTTACCCATGTGGGTACTCTCTGTGGACGCAGGTCTACGCTAGACCAGGCTGCAGCCTGAGCCACCTGTCAGTGAGCACCTGTTTAACACTGTGTTTAAGTACAGCTTGGCAACCAACAATAAACCTTTAAACATGCAACAGATAGATAATGGATAAAAACATGTGCTGTACGTCAGGCTTTGAAAGCTGCACAAAGACGAGCTGAAACACTCAGGATCATTGATAAATTCTCTTTACTTAGTAAAACAGACGCGAATATCAGCTCATGTATCCATGTAAACCACGTAAAACATGAGTAGAGTCATCATTTTATTATTTGTGTCTTGTTTAAGTGATTTGCAGTAAAGTTCAGCTGCACAAATCAGTATCACACAGCAGGACTGTGCATTTCTTCATAGTTGGTTCTGTAAGTTAATTTTTTTCATTTATTGATGCAGGCGTGTGAACTGCTTTAAGATAGAATTAATACAGTTTATTTTACTTCAAGATTTAACAAACCATTTTAATTACATGCATTACAAAACAGTCTGTGTCACGATTCAGCTCATGTGTTCGTCTGTGTGGTTCTTGTCTGTCTTCAGCTAAACGAGCAGTGTGGAGGTGCTGCGTGTTGTCTCTGAAACAAATGCTTAAAATAATTAAAATATATTCTTAAAGCTTTCTCAGCTTATTCACATTATTGAGTGCAAACAATAAAATGGATAATTATTCAAATGACCCCTACTGGTCATTTAGTTTTAAAAGACTTGAAGATGAAACGGTGAAAGTAGTCGAGCAACGACGAGTCGTTGTAGCTGGCAGACAGAAAAGGTGTCCCGAGTCCAGCCAGTGTATCTGTGATGTCAACTAGGGCTGCCACGATTACGTCGACTATCAAAATCGTCGACGACTGATTTAATAGTCGACGCGTCGTTTGAAGCTTTGTAA